GGTTCCATTATAGTTCTACTAAAAAAAATATTTCCTACCTTTTTTACGTCTACTAAAGGCTTTCTGTGAGGTAATCAGAATACCGTTGATTGAATGAAATGAGAAGATACGCAACCTAATGAGCGAATTCGTGATAAAGCTGATTTGATTTCCCCTTAAGTCACAATTGTTGTACGGTGGAGACACCAATCGTTCTGCGGTCAACGCATAAAACACTTATTTTCTCTAATTCGATTAGCGCAGGCATATCAAAGATGGCGTGGATCTGAAAGCGACAGTTGCCATATTAAAATGTATAATATCTATAATACGTTTGACGAAAATATCTTTGGATGAAAAATCCACGTTTATGCATTGAAAATGTATTCGTGTTAAACATAGAATTAACAACAAAAATAATAATTCTTTTATAGGTACTGAATATGTCGTATGATCGAAAAAACTCGTTTAGTCGCCTTGGAATAGCGATTAACATTTACCATAAGAAATAATAGCATTATACATAAGAAATAATAGCGATCTACATTTCCAATCCAACTAGGACGCCGTTCTTTGATTAATCATATAATATTATATTAATTTATTATGTTTAATGAAAGAAAATTCGTATTATTATTTAGTAGTACTGGACCCACAATCCGCAAATCTACGGATTAATCAGTAGTTCTGGCAACAATGCCTCCGGCAACCACTCACCCTGTCGACTGAAAGCAGAACTACGGCACAGTATTCTTTATCCGCTGCGCTGTAAACGACTATCAGCACGCAGCGGCGCGGCGCAGAGCTATACTAAATCTCGGAATTCTCGGACAAGCTGACGGTACAGATTAGGTATCCTATAAGTATACAGATAAAAATCTTGTCCCTAATTCGTGGTACGAAAATTGTTTTTTATGACGATGTGCAAACGAGTCAAATTTCCTGTGCGTAAAAATAAACTCGCGTAAAATAACAATAAACAGCGTAATAGAGAGATATCGCTAAACCGAATAGCGTGCATGGACGTTAATAAGGCCAGGTGTTATTTCCTTTACGTGAGGTGGTGTTAACTCTCTTCCTTTATAGTTATCGGATCGGAAAGAATTTAGAGATTTATACTTAAGCTAACTTTGAATTTAAAACTTTGAAATTGTTTTGTTTACTAGGTATTTTGAAATAAAAGGGCTAAAGTGCTTATTTCCAGTGCTTTATTGTTCAACGTCTGCCAATGGGTTTAGGACAACAAGCAACAAATTCTCTTAGAAGGGCTAAGTCGCCATCTGCTGTAAACCTAAGACTCTTTATAGGTTCTTTAGTATTGGAAGAGGTGGAATCCATATTTTGGGCCATATTTATTTAATTAAAACTAATCCCAGCTACTTAAATATCAAATTACCTAATAAAACTAAGGCAATAATTCAAAACAATTCAAACATAACCTAAAATAAAAGATCTCGCCGCGCGCCGGCCAGCTCCGGTTGTCAAATAACCGCACATGCCCATTTAAGCAATTTTTAAACGTAATCAGAGGTTATTTAGAAAGAGCGCTTGGTGTAATTGATCCGCAAATTACGTCAGGCGGTAACGTTAGTAGCGGGTGTTGCGTTGACTCGCGCATATCGTAACCATGATAAGGTACGCGTAAATACTGGATCACGCTATTCGGTTCTCCGATATCTCTCTAATAACTGTGCCGGTCAGGCGCTGTGCACAATTTTAGAGGCCATAAGTGGGAGTGCTATGTGCGCAAACTAGTCACCTAACTAGTGCCCTATTCCGAAAATGGCAAACCAAACCACGAAAAAAAAATTTCGCAAACCAAACCACGAAAAACAATAAAGAAAAAACAAAGATTATAATCTGTATAATCTGTGCTGACGGTAACGCCAGCGACATGTCAGACAGATTTTGTGCCCCGAAATAGTCCATAAGGTTGCGCATCTTCCTATTTCTTCAATCAACGATAATACATTTTATGTCAAGCCCCGTCTGCACATAATTCTTTAGGACTTAGTTATTGTTCCACGAAGCAGGAGTTCGATTAAACCCACAGATTAAACCTTTCAAGACGCAATAAAAATATTTCGAAGAGTGTCTAAAATTCACGTGTTACTCACAGAGACAAATCCTGAATAGTGTAGGTTTTATTCACTGAAAGTTGACCTTCAGAAACTTGCAAGGTATGTCAGATTAATTTTATATATTGACCAGATATTTCTAGGAAAAAGATATGATGTTATATGGAGAACGACTTGAATGTTATTAAGAGAAGAAGATGCTTTAATATTCTGTTTATTACTTTTTTAAGTTATTTATTTTACATTTATTTCACACACTTCTATTTTTTTAGTTATATTATCTATGTAACGTATGATATGATGTAATGTAATTTGCAAGCTGCAAAACATATTTAAAAAAAACTCATTTATTTAACCTACTTAAGATGTTTAGTTCTCAAACGATTTTCGAAACTCTAAATATATCAAAATGTTTACCATTCCCCCTTGTGTTGTATGAAGAAAACACTTCCCCATAGCTTGATCACAACTTTTTCTTGACTGCGCATGCGATGTGTCCAGTTTATCTCTTTTTCTTTAATTTAAATTATCATTTTTTATACTTTATGTACTTTCATCCACATTTTCTTTATTATTACCTATTTGTTTCAGTGTCAATCTACTTGTGTTTCAATTCTTATTGTTTAATTGTTTAAATTAATGCATAATATTATATTTGACGTTATCGACTCATAAAAATATAATTGCACAAAAAATATAATAGTAAGATGTATGAGGAATAACATCAGTCAAATATAATTATTAAATGATCCATTAATTGAAACTTTGTTCGAAACTAACAATACTTTTGTGTTTTTCAAATAATAACATAAAAAATTAATGGTTCAGACAATTTTTTGTTTGACGGTTTTAAAATTGTTGGGATTATAATAATTATGTATTTATATTTATAACATCTCCCTTTTAACTCACATTTCACTGATAACTTGTTACCGATAGAAAATACAGAGTCGGAGTAGAGTGGAGTGGTATGATTTTTTTTTCAATGGAACACCTTGTATATTATTACATTATTGGCTTCCTTTCTGATTACTTTACATATAATCCTAAGATATTATTAAATATGTTTCGATAGTTTCAGAGATATTAATAAATATATAAAAAAAATATTTTTCAGCATTTTAAAAAAAAATATTAAAAATACAAGAATGTACTGAAATCAGAACGATACTATAAAATAGTTACTATAGTTGGTCTGCCTTACTTCAAAATAATATGCCAACCTTTCTAAAATATAAAATAGGTTTTCTACGTTTTTTAAACGGAACACCCTGTATACTATTTCTTTGTTATATGGTGAATTAAAAAATGGCATTTTTTGTAATTAAAGTATTTCAAAACTTTTAAGGGTTCTGCGAATATTCGTAATAGGATATTACATACTAGGGTCGGCATTTTTGGGCTTGGGTGCCGATTTTCGTGTGTACGAAGAGTACGGTCAACACGCTTAGTAAAATAAGATGTACTGAATAAAGACAGAAGGCAAGTATTTTCCCAAGCGCATGGAGTCTAGCGCCAGATTAAGTGATTAGGTAATAAATACTTCGTATTTTTGCTCTCTCCGACTTACTAGATTGCCACCATAGCTATTCACTCCTATACATGTAAACGCCGACCCAAGGTTTCGCTTGCCAGCAGGGTATAATATGGCTTTTCAACAGTAATTTTTTAACAAAGCCACCTAATCATTTTTGTCTGGTATTTTACATTTTACTGTTTAAGGGAGCCATATGTAATTAAAATGCGAATATTTGCGAAACCGCTAAAAATGTTAAAACATTTTAAATACAAAAAAAAATCATTTTTTAATTCTCCACCAACCCAAATCAACAAAGAAATAATATACAGGGTATTCCATTTTAAAAAAACGCAGAAAATCTATTTTATATTTTAGGAAGTTTGGAGAGAGAGATATAATGTTGTTTAATAATTTTTAACACCCTGTATGTTTAAAGATTATATGACATTTATAGAAAAGTAGTTTACTATAGTAGTACCTAACTGTAGTAATATAGTAGTATTTTTAATATTTTTTTTAAAAAAGGCCGAAAAATATGTTTTTTTATTTATTTATTAATATCTTTGAATCAAAACATATTTAATAATATCTTAGGATTATGAAAAAATGGTCAGAAAGGAAGCAAAAAAAAAACAACAATATACAGAGTGATCCATTTAACAAAAATCATCCCGATCCATTCACTCTTTTTTGAGTCACCAATAGAATTTAAAATTTTTTATTTTTCTTGTTTTAAAAAAATACAAGAAGAAACTATGAAATAATACCATACGATCTAAAAAAAACTGCGTCAAAGGCGGCTGATGATAATTTTAGCGAGGTCAAGCCCTAGATATCAAGTTTAATGGCGCTTGCAAAAGAGAACAAAAATGATTTTTAAATGGTGTTTAAAATTAAATATTTTTTTTTCTGAAATAGACTTATGCATCTGGAAACATTATATCCTTTTTTAATATTTCTATAAATTATTGTTAAATTTTTAGAAGTTTTATGTCAATTTATAGTAAATGACGCATGACGTCTAGAGATTGACCTCATCAAAATTATTATCGATTGTCATTCTCTTTGACGCAACTTTTCGATCATACGGTACCAAGCAAATTACCCGCGATAAAACTTATGATTATATTTTTATCATTTACAAAATAAATAACATACCATTGCGTATAAATTGCAGCAATATTCTATTTAAAATTAATAAATTATAAGAAAAAAAATCAAAATATGTGCAGTAAGAATTAGCAAACTCTAGCACATTCTGTTTATTGGTGAAACAATAAAACATATATTTAATGTCTTTAAACAGATGACATTAATTCCAACAATTTTTTGCCTACTCAATGGATAACATCGCAAGCAAAGTTAGGCGTGATTAAGCCCTTGTGGCAGTTGAATTCAGCTTACTCTACCATAAACTATTACAGGATAATAAGTTGGGAGATATATGCTTTTCTTTGCGATACGTGCCCACCGCTGGAAAATTGACCGTTGTTATTCTGGAAGCTAAGAACCTGAAGAAAATGGACGTGGGAGGCTTATCTGGTAAGACGATAAAGTAGTTCTGAGGATGTATCAGGTATCCTGCTAAGAATGGCTCTCGGCTGTAACTCGGAGAATATTAACCATAGAGCTTGCGGACAAATTGTTATATTTATGTATAAAGGTTTTTCTCTACTATTAATAATTACCGAGGTCAAAGTTTCTGTCCTAAAGCCCTCTATATCCATATACATATAACTACCTATACTCAGCCTAATCTCTAAAAAGTGAAGCGCAAACAGTGAAAGAGAAATATGAAATTCTGTACAAATCTACTTCACCCGGATATTCATTTAACTGCGCATGCCTAACCTGAAGAAGTTTTCTTAGTTTTCATTGGTCGGTGTTTTTAAAGGGAAATGGTTGACTGACATTTCACCTAACCTTCAATTTTATTTTTTATTATTTATAACACATTATCATAATATCAAAAATAAAAAAAAAATTGAAAAATATCAAAAAATAGTTGGAAACGATAAACTAAACAAAATCGCTCTTTTACGCGCACAAATAAAAAGTAATCCAAACAGATCTAAAACAACAATCAATCGGAGTTTGGCGCAATCGCAGTTCAATCCATATCCGGGTGAAATAGACTTATGCAGCATTAATATGGAGCTGAGTTATGTTGTCTTTTTCTTACGGCACGGGAACAGCACACGGAGTTAAATAGGGAACACTGAGTAAAATTTAAGTTATATGTATATGCCTATATCCCGCTAGACAATAATTACCTGAGGTTAACAACATTCATTAGAGATGAACAAAACTGCGCGATTCTCCAGTCGTAATTGAAATTGCGATTTTTAAATCGCTGCGCAAGACTCTAACCTGCGATTGCGATCTCAATATTTAAATATTGTACTAGGCATTCTACTCAGAGTATCATTTTCTATGGAATAAAGTAGTAAAAAAATACCGAGGGTGTCATTTAAAATTCAAAAGTTGTAGTAATTTCCGGTGAAACAAGAAGTGATAGAAACGAATTGAATATGTGAATCGATCCTAATTTATCACAAAATATACCCCTTTTAGAACTTTTTCTTTAATGGCTATAAAGTAGTAAAAACGCGGGAGTGAAAGACTAACCGCCCGAACAAACACTAGAGGCGCCACTGGTCATCAAAGGTGTAAAAATTGCGAAAATTTAATCATCTAATTTTGACACAAGGGGTTAGGGCGCTTAACTTTTTTAATTTTAATTCAATTTTCATTAATTTCAAACTACATTATTAGACTTTGTTGTATTTTGTGAATGTATAAATGTTTTTCTTAGCATACAGCTTTATATTAATTTAAACTGTATTACATACATATTTAAAATTAAAATATTATGACATATATGTCAGTTACCGCCTAAAATGTCATCTTGATATCTAAAAGTTAGCTATGAAAGTTAGTTATTGTCAGAAATAGTTAAAATTATGTTAAAATATTAAAATTCACAAAAACATAATAGTACAGCGTAATGTTGATATGCAGGTTCAAAACAAAAAGTACTGTTATATTTTTCAGTTTTCGTTGTCAGCCGCGGAAGTTTCATTGATTTTAGTGTTGTCGGATATTTTTATTTTTGTGAAATAGAAATATTGCGTTTGGATTGCAAAACTAAAAGTAAAAATTTTATTGAAATGTAAGTAAGCGTTTGTCCATTATATATTTTACTTTTTTCATACCTACGACAAATATACATAAATATATTGAAATTTTATAATTCGTTTTATTCAAAAAAATTTTAAAAAAATGTCAATTTAAAAGAGATATTAAAAATATATACAGGTATTAATTGAAGTTTTTAGTATGCGAACAAAGACGAGAGGCGCTTTATTATTTACTTTCATTTCTTAACATGACAGATGAAGTTGTAAAGGGGGATGTTTTGTCTAATTTATGTCATATGCTTACATACTAAAGCTTGATTCAGAACCTCGCAATTAGTGGAATAAATTAGTGGTTTCAATTAGCGTAGAAGTTTGTTCACCTATTTTTAATGTAAGCATTCAGAACGTCATAATTAGTGGTAGTAATTTTCAATTAGTCGAAAAAGTTAACAAACTTTTGGCTTTTCGGCTAATTATACTTCAAAATTTGCGAGGATGCAGTCAATAATCACCACACAGGCTAATAAAACTACTTTTTCAAATTTGTCAAGCTTTCGAGAATCTTATTCCCATCATCAGGACAGTTTGACTGATCCCTGATTCTAAAATCCTAATCCCTAAAATTCTCGAAACCTTTACAAATTTGAAAAAGTAGTTTTATTAGCCTGTGTGGTGAATATTGACTGCATCCTCACTTAAATTTTGAGTTGTTTCTTAACTTGTCAGTCACGACTAGACCTGCTGTTTTTTAAAGATATTTAATATCAATGAACAATTACATTTCTACTTGATTTCTACCATTTGTTTCTAAATCAATCTTTCAAAAGCTACTTCCCTAAAATTTTCTTTATATTCTTATTCTTTCTCTTTCTCAATACTTTAATTCCAAGTATAAACTTCTCTAAAGAAATACAAATTATTCAATCGCAAAACCTCTAACCAGGGATAGGGGTAGATTGAAATGTACTCACACTGGATTGGAGAACGGTTAGTTATTAATACAAATTATGTTTCAGATCCTTACGTCAAAATTGCTCTGATGCAAAATGGAAAAAGACTCAAAAAGAAGAAGACCAGCATTAAAAAGTGCACGCTAAATCCATACTATAACGAGTCGTTCACATTCGAAGTACCCTTTGAACAAATACAGGTAGGGTATTGGTATATTTGTGTTAGATAAAAGATTTATATTAAATATAGCAAACATATGGACTAAAACGACGAAAGCCCTCACAGACGCTTAATTCTCTAACACATGTTCTGAGCAGGTGCAGGCCAGTTTGTGTTGATCAATGTGCTGTTTTACGCTACATTATTGTTTTATAAAACTTTTTCTAGTTTCTTTTTTCTAAAAGAACTTCTTACATTATTAATCTTTTTAAAAAATGTTGCCTATTTGCTTCCGAATCAATCTGCTTTGGTTTTTTTGGGGGGGGGTTTGTATTTCGTTTAATGTTTTGTCCATAAAAAATGGTGGATAGTCGTTTTTTATTAATGTATTTTTTATGTGGTTTATATCTCTGCTTAGTGAATTGTCGTCTGAACATATTATTTTTGCCCTATCATATAAACTTTTTAAATCACCTTTTTTACACTTATACTGTGATTAGATGTGAAATTTAAGTATAGTAAACGCCACGAATGTTTGGGAGTGATTCATCGGTCGCTACCATGTGAACTAATCTGTTCAAGGTCACAAAAAACTTAATTCCAGTGCCGTGGTGTTTCAAGTCATATAATAATCAATATTCAATCTGTTGTAATTTGTTGTTTTAACTATCAAAGTCTTGTCAAAACATATATTTGGTTATAAATATAAAATGGAATGCCCCATTAGTCGCACTGCAAGCACACCAATGGACTGACGCACAAAAACGAATCAATCAAAGAAACGCGATATAGTATCGTCTTTGTCAATCACGCTAACATTTTAGAATAAGTAGGAGGAGCGCAGGCAGATGATTAGACCGGGCCTTTAAAAACCTACGTCTGCGGTACAAATTTACGTTTCTAATGTAAAAATGATAGCGCGCGTGTCGATTCTAACTTCATCAAGCGATGAATCACTCCCAAACATTCGTGGCGTTTACTTTATCTGTCTGTGTTTGTGGGTTTTCTGTAAACATCTAAAATTAGTTTATTTTGTAACTTTGACACTAAAACGTCAAGAAATGGCAAACGATTATCTCTCTCTACTTCTAAAGTAAATTTTATGGTTGGTTCGCGAGTATTTATTGTATAATCCAAGAAAATGTCTATTTCAGAAACCTTATGTTGCCATATTGCAAAAATATCATCAACATAACGCAGCCATTTTACAGGATTTTCTGAAAAACTATTTATTGTATTATTTTCAAAATCTTCCATAAAAACATTACTTAGCAAAGGAGGGAGAGGTGATACCATCGCCATAACGAAATCTTGTTGAAAAAATTCGTTATTTAATTGAAAATGAGTAGTTTTAACACAAAGTTTCAGCAAATCCAAACACTATCTATGTTTAATTTTGTTCTATCTTTTAAATTTTGATCTTGTTCTAACCTATCCCTTACTATTTTAAGTAAAAAACATCTACCACCACAATGCTATTGTGATAGGATATTGTATCTATCAATTGTTATATCACACTAAGATTAATATATCCCGTTAGTAAAGATTTTTGTATTTTCAGAAAGTAAACTTGGTGGTTACGGTGGTGGACTATGACAGAATTGGCACATCGGAACCAATCGGAAAGGTGGTACTGGGTTATAATGCAAGCGGAACGGAGCTACGTCATTGGTCGGACATGTTGGCCTCACCACGCCGACCCATAGCCCAATGGCATACGCTAAAGGATCCCGAAGACGAGAAGAAAGATTAAATGTCCAGTTAATAAGCCTAGAAAATGGTCTCAATGTGTTAAATAGTAAGGGTATTTTAGTAATTCTTATTGAATCAAACTTTATTTTTTATTTTCTTACACAATCTTTCCAATATACCTACAGTGATGATATGATACACACATGGCCAAAATTATTGCATATATCGTTTAAAAATATACGGAAAGGAATTTAAACAATCTTTTTTTATACATAGCTTTGACAATCTGTAATAAACATTTTTTTGTTAAAATGGATATGGTAAACAATGTTTATCGTTCAGTCCCAATATTATTACAAATTCTTGCACATTTCAATTTGTGGTCTCTTAGGTTTCAGAAGAAATTTGACCATTGTTTTGGCCTTAAAATGCCTAGAAACATTATTTCACAGTTTAATAGAGTCAGAATAGCAACACTGTCTCAACAGGGCTACCGGCAAGTTGCAATAGCTGAAATTGTAGAAGTTAAGCAAAGCGATGTTTCGCGAATATTAAAAAAAATCAAGGAGAGAAACGAGGTTACAGACCGGCCTGGAAGAGGTAGAGAGGGAGTTACTGTTGCTGTGCAAGACCGTCAAATATCCCTAATTGCACGACGCAATCCCCTGCTTTCTAGTACTGCTATTAAAAATGAGTTAGCTCGCCTTGAATGAGTAAATGTTTCAAGAAAGACCATAGCAAGAAGACTCCATGACAGAGGATTACATTTAAGGAGGCCTCTACGTGTTCCGAAGCTTAATTTACAGCACAAAATTACGCGACTACAATAGGCTGAGGAGATGAGAGCAAATGGACCTATGTAATTGGAATTTCGTCATGTTTAGTGATGAAACAAGAATAGGCCTAGTGTCAGACTCGCGACGAACTTTGGTCTGGAGAGCATCTGGAAGACGAGCACGCTTGAATGCAACTCAAGCCCGTGTCCCGTTCCAAGGGGGAAGCATTATGGTATGGGCAGGTATAATGGACGGAGTTCGAACTCCTCTTGTTTTTATTGATGGCACAATGACAGGTGTCTCATATCTTAGAGACGTTTTAGAGCCTATTGTGCGTCCATTTCGACGGGCAGTGGGGGATGAATTTGTTTACATGGACGATAATGCTCCTCCCCATCGCACTTTAGCGGTTCGCGAATTTTGTGAGGAAGAGGGTATAAGAAAACTGTGGTGGCCACCGATGTTTCCAGATATGAATGTGATCGAGCACGCTTGGGACATGCTAAAACGCCATATTGCTAAAAGGAATGATCCCCCCGTACCTTAAATGAATTGAAAATTGCTGCGCGCGAAACATGGGAAGCCATACCTCAACATCTTCTGGACAACTTAATTGAGAGCATGCCACGTCGTCTCACAGCTTGCATTGAGGCTCGAGGAGGCAATACAGACTATTAGTTGTCAGAAATAATTAAACTTGTTTTCAATATTTTCTGTTTAAAATGAAATTTGTTTTTGTTGATTTTCACTCATTATGAAATAAAATTATTATAATAACAGCCTAGTTGCACTTAGATTTTTAATTATCATATTAGGTCCAAAATAAAATAAATATATCGTTATATGCAATAATTTTGGCCATATGTGTAGACTACCTAGTTTTATAAAATACCTATTTTCTTTGGGATTTTAGGTGAAAATTATTCAGATCTTGTTTCGTTCTTTTCAGAGTGTGCCCCTAAAAATCAGCATACCTACCCAAAAAGCGATGTTACTCCATATACCACATGTAACTATGTCTAAAAAATACTATAAGAAGAGCTACTTCTATTACGTGTAGAGCTATAAATTTTTCAAAATTTATTTCAGACAAGTCTTTAAAATCCTTTTATTAAAACTTTTATAGGCTTTAGTTAGCAACAAACCGCCTGTGGTAGTTAATTCATAATTTAATTCAAGTGGTAAATTTTAGATATCTTAACTTAAATAGACCAAATAATATAACTTATCATATTTGGTAATGTCTGACAACTACGAATCTTCGTGCTTCTAAAAAATATATAAAATGCAAAAATAATCCTATCAAAATGTATATTTAAATTAAGATATATATAATAAAAAATACAATTGGATAAGGCGAATATTATAGAACTTAGTTGGCCAAATCTATATATTTGAAAAGCAGTTGAAGTAGATATGTATATGCATTTGGCCACAAATATAGAATTTATATCTAATGAAACTGAAACTAGTAAGTTTTCAAGACAATAGGACTATTTTAGATTAGCTTAAAAGTGTTTGATTAAAGTATAGGTAGAGAAAGCAAAAGTGCACAAGTAAAAAACACGAAAAAATATTATTTTGTAAAGATTTCATAATAGGAATAACGTAAATAGTATTTTTTCAAATATATTTAAAATGTGTCATCAATAAATTTAAAGTTTTTAACGCTGTATAGAAACATATAAACGTTGGTATGCCACTTTGCAATCCAATGGGACCATCTATTATAAAATCAATGTAGTCTAGCTCCTAAAGGAGAAAAGACAACAAAAATGTATAGCTTATAACATCCAATTAATATACAGGGTGTCAAAACAATAGCGTATCTAACTTTGGTGGCTGATTCTACAGATAAAAATAAGACAAAAAGTCCCTATGAACATATGCCCTAAAATGCTTCTCGAGGAAGTTACAGCCCTCAAAAGGGTAAACAAAAATAAACTGTTTTGTTTATTTATTTGTTTATTTTTTAAAAAAATGTTTTGTTTATTTTTAAGAAAATTAGTAAACAGCTTTCCTTGAAAAATTTTAATACCAAACCGAATGGCGATAGTGTAAAATTTCGTAACAGCCCTGATTAGAAAGTACTACTGATGGTACTTCTTTTATCCTTACAGATACAGTAATTTCAACAAATTATATAAGAACTTTTTTACGTAAAAAAAAGTGCTTTTCATTTAGCTCGAAACAGTGAATGATTTTCAAGACATTTGCGTTTTAATTTAGGATGCATCGATTTTACTATTAGCAAAATCATAAGATTATTAATTATTATGAAATTAATCAATTATCATAAAATTAATTAATTATCATGAAATTATTTAATTATCATGAAATTAATTAATTATCATGAAATTAATTAATTATCATGAAATTAATTGTCATGAAATTAATTAATAATCATGAAATTAATTAATAATCATGAAATTAATTAATTATCATGAAATTAATTAATTATCATGAAATTAATTAATTATCATGAGATTAATTAATTATCATATTTATTAATTTCTTTACATTTTATCATTTTGCTAATGCTAAAATCGATGCATTGTAATTGTAACCTTAAAACGTAAATATCTTGAAATCCGTTCACCGTTTCTAACTAAGCGAAGAGCACCTATTTTACATAAAAAAGACCTAGCTTTTTATGTCATTTATTTAAAATTAGTAATATCTATAGGAATACAAGAAGTACCACCAGTAGTACTCACTACCTTAATGAAAAGTACCCTTTCAGAGATGTTAGGGAATTTTAAACTGTCGCCATTCGATTTGCCTTTAAAATGTGTTTAAGAGTACCTACTAAGTTTCAACAAAAACGGTTTACCAATTTTCTTGAAATTTGAAAACAAAATATATTATTTTTATTTTCACAATTCTTTCTAGGGCTGTAACTTCCTCGGGAAACATTTAAGAGAGTTTCATAGAAACTTTTTGTCTTGTTTTTATCTATATAATCAACCACAGAAGTTAGATACACTATTTTTTGGCATCCTGTATATCCTCTCTGTTATTTAACAACCAAGAAATTTTATAAAACCAAGCTAAACCAAACTAAACTAAGACACATTTTTTTTTGAAAGAATACCTTTTACAATTAATATAACTGTTTTCCTAGAAGGAAAACGGTTATATACAAAATTATATTCAATTATGTATAATACAGTACAAAACCATATTTCTTTTGAGTTTTTTTTTGCAGAAGTAAATATGAAATCTCCATTCTATGTATGTATATTTCCAAAAATAATAGTTTTATTAAAGTCATCATCATATCATAATTATATTTTAGTAGTTTGCAGTTTGCATATTTTATAGTTTATACATATATATTTGTTGTAAGTACTATCTGCACTATACTGTATATATTTCTTTAATTTAGAAAATTAAAAATCACTTAGCATTTACAAAAATGACGAGATAAGAAATTAAGATCATCAGTCAAAAAATATCTTTCAAATTCAATATAAAAATGGAAATTATACAGGGTGCTACAAATTCGAGGTTAAATTGGGGCAAAGTTGCACAAAAAAATTAAGTTGGCCTCTGTATCTCACAAATTATCAGCTAATTTCAAAATCTAAAAATACCATTAGATAGCCCTAATAAAGTGGCTATGAGAATGTGCAATTAGTTTTTAAATTTTCTAAAAAGTAAAGACAGGAAACAATAAAATTTATTTAAAAAAAAAATCCGTTTTTCCAAACGGGTTTTCAAAAAACTCAGCAATCCTTGAAATTTTTAAAACTTTTTTGATGGAATCTTGGTGAACATCCCAAAGCGCAACTTTGCCCCAATTTAGTCATGTTAGTATCTATTACGATTACCGAGATACCAATGCTCGTATCTCGAATTTGTAGCACCCTGTATACTATTTGCTATTCAGTCTGATGATGTTAGGTTCGAAATTCTTAAATATTAAGTTATAAAACACACAAAAATATTATTTGTATCATAATCATTGCCTATGATACATTAAATGTCTTGTGTGGAAGGCTTTAGAACGTGTAAAAATATCAATATCTCAAAAATTATGAACAAATCTACTTATTTACCTTATTTAAAAAAGAAAAGTATATTATCTAAAAAATCCTTTAATTATTGAAAATTCACAGTTTATTACAAGCGTCATTAAATGTTTCTGTTTAAGAAATTTTAGAATTCCCAGTAAATACGAGTATAAATATAAAAAAAATTATACCTACTTAATAGCTTTAACTAACGAGACAGAGGGTTGTTAAATTTATATTTAAATTGTTTTGATAAAAAAAGTAGTACCTAATTGTGTATATACAAAAGCTTCTGTTAAACAGTAAAACGTATTTTTAAATAGTAATAAAATAAAGGTGGTATAGTAGTATATTATATGACTGTTTTGAGATATTGATACAGATTTTTATATCATGTAAATACTTAGTGAAATATTTTAGTTAATTGCAGTATATATCTATTATTCTTCATTTACATAAACTGATATTTTTTCTCTTGTATATAGAAGAAAAGCCTACTCAAAATAAAATATACCCTAATATATAATTATTATGTAGATATAAGTTTATGTATATTTAACAAATTGGTAATTTATGTTCTTATGATTGATTTAATCAAAAAATATCTGGATTTATCATTTGAATTTGAAGAGAATATAATTTTTGGACACTTTTTTTAGTTTAACTTTTTATTTAATAACTCTTAAAAAGGTAGTGCTGTTTTTTTGTTAAATTATATAATTTGTTAGAAATTTAAAAATGAACTGACTAGAGAAAACGCACCACAAGCTTTATTAAAAGAAATGCAATATCAGTTAAAAGTTAGCGTAAGGTTTTCAGAATGGAACAAAAATAACTATTGTTAGGAATGTGGAAATTAGAGACTATAATTAGAATAAAACAAACTCATAGTTTTACCTTCATATGCATTAACTCTATAGAGATACTTGAAGTATTATCAGAGTGGACATAGATCTTCTATACTGCTAGAATTTTTTTTTAACTAAAAATCTAAGGAAAATTATGAGTTGAGTTTATCTAGATATAAAAGACAAACATTAACTACAACAGAAATCTTTAATGTAACTTATTTAATCATCAGAACCAAATGAACTAAATAAATTGAATTTTGTTAATGCTTCCGAACTCTTCTAATCTGTATAATCTGCATAGTACTAAGTAGAAACATGTTGTCTAGGTCTTTAGTTTAGAATCTTTTTAACTTAAAAACTAAAATATTATACCTAATTTTGTTTCAACTTTACCAATTTACTTATAGAAATTTCTCTCACAGTTTTAAACAGTGATGGGTGGTGGGTATATGTACCCAACGTGGAGGTAATAAAATTTGGAGTGGGGTATATATCCTTTGAGTATTATAGATATATATGTGATGTTCTAGTCAGTATTTTATATTCCCGGTATTATACCAGGTATTTATTAAGCTGGCTTCGAGGGACCCCCTTATAAAATTATGGTATTTACCTAAATTGCATCACAACCATCGCTACTAGGCTATCAGTTTTTGTGATAAAATTCATTGCCTATTGTGAACTCTCTGACTTATGGTTTTTTAACATTTCGTTCTCCGTTGTTTCCGAGGTTGTTTCTTTGGTGATTTTATGGTTTTGTTGTCGAGTAGCTTGAGAACAAAAATATCAACAACAAATTGTTATTAAAATTTGTAGGCATACCTTAAATTAAAACAGTAAGTATACTTGGATATATACCCGATATATGGTATTTACCCAAATTTTCATATACCGGCTACTTGCCCATCACTGGTACTGAACTATCAAAAGTGAGACTTACAGTTTACAGTATCTATTATAATTGACTTAAAAAATATCTGCTGTACCTATATGTTTAAAAATCTACTTAAATGGCATTATTATATACCTATCAACTTAGTTGTTTAACTTTTTAGTTTTAGATGTTAATTTTAAAATGAATAATAAAAAGATAATATATTATTGTAATATTTAAAATAAAATGTGGCAATCCTTTGCTCTTGTTAAAGTATTAGAGAAAAATAAACCATATCACCTTTCCTGTTGATCACCGCTGCAGTTTTTCTTAGCAATATTATTATTAATAAAACAAATATTTATAACAAATATATATAATATATTTTAACAATCAATAAAATCTGAGCTATATCGTTAAAGGGACTAGCTTTTCAGTTAAGTATTAAAGAGTAAATATTGTGCTCATTTTCTGTTAAAACACTTAAAAATTTAACTACTTACACTAATTGTACTAATCATTATAATATCTTCTTTTCATTGTACGGTATTTTTTTAACATATATAAAGCTTCAAGTTCCTTAACTATATAATCAGCATGTTTAATCATTTGTTCAATTTTTTCTGGATTAGTTTCATTCCTATTTTTAAAAAAGGCATTATGAAGTTTACCTCTAAAATAATCATGTCCGGCAGGCCAATCTTTTCCTAAATGTAAAAGCTATAACAAACAAAGCATATTACCTTTAAATTGAAAATTATATTTTTAATGAACTTACTGTTTTATATAGGTTTATCACTCTGCTTCGTTGAGACATCTCTATTGGCTATGGAGAAATGCTACTGCATTAAAATTCTATTTAACTACAGTGATAAAAACGTATGCCACTATTTAACAGACACAAGAAACAGGTATTTATTTCTTTGCCTTATTTCTTGTTATAAGTTTACAAATTATTTTGTTTAATAAATTTGTTTACGGACTTTAAACTTTAACCTCTTTGACAAAATACACTTTACACTTCTTCTTTCAGTTTCTTGGTTCCACACCTAACCATATACTAGAGTAGAAAGGGCTGGAAGCAAATACGTTTAAATAAAATATACGACGGCCTCCCCATAAGAGCAATGAGAGGATTTACGTCAGAGATATGGAAGTGGGAGAATGAGCTTCGACGAGTGCGCATCCAAATTTTTGTCGACGGCAAGATGGCAGACATCTTCCAGGTCTCGCTGTCACTTCCCCTCTTTAATTGACATCTGTTTGTTTTGTTTTTTTTTTCGTTTGTGTTGTTATCTAGTTAAAATTTATTATTATCTCAATTATTCTAAACACTAATTCAAAAAGGCCTGTTGTATATTCATAGTCATTCTAGAAAGCTAATACGCCGGGAATAATGATTAGTTTTCATGTGTAAGTTTATACAACATAATCGTGTTTACAGATGATTCAAAACTGTTTATTTTTAACTTTCCTAAAGGCGATTTGTAAAAATCGTGATTGTAATTGGGAATGGTCAAAAATAAGTGTATGATGTGGCCATTTAAAGAGGATGTTTTTATTACGTGTGGAGGAAGAAGATACTTGGAATCAATGTTCGTGGTTCTGTAAAACAGTGCACTCTTATAGTGTCCATGAAAGCACAAGTTCAAGTGACCAGAAATATATCAAATAAGATTGGTCCTTACTTGACAAGAAGATTATTTGGAGGAAAAGAAAACATAAGATAGGGTATTTTAATCGAACAGCGAAAATTTAACATTTTTATTGTAAAGTTTGTTGTAGGTAGTTGTAGTTTTGTGCTAAATATTTCTAACATTAGCAGCGGCTGTGTTCAGAGTGTCAAGAGGAGGAGAATTCAGTTAATTAGATTTATGCACAGTTACAGGTATGAAGGCTTTTTCAAACATAGTATCGAGTTCTATAGTCAACATTTTTAGTATTCCTACAACTGTAAAAACAAGGAACATTGGACTGGAAAAATGGCAAGATTTATATAGAAAGAAAGGGTATATGCCAATAAGAAAATTAAATCTGTAGGCAGAAGTTTCTTATTTAAAAACTGTTATGGGGCATATATTAATTTGTATCTGTGCCACAAATCACTGAGAAAAATCATATAATATTCATAATTGTTAACGAGATGATATTTAAAGAGTGTTAAAAATGAGACTATTAGTCATGAAGCTTACAGTGTTACTTTGTTTCAATATTACACTTTTATTCTTGTAAAATCTATGATGAAGTTCAAAAGCATTTTGCAATGGCCTTAAATTGTGAGTTGTGAGCCAGGATTTATAGTAAAGGTATTTGATGCAATGAAACTTAATCGGTACCTTCCAGTATGTATTTTAGTAAGGGGATTGTCAATCCCATGTTTTTAAATAGATAAAATACAGGCCAAAGTTGACAATATTACAGTTGAGAAGAAACTATTTTATCTTAAAAAAAAATTTCTTAAAATTCTGAGATCATATAATCTAATTTTCTTAATAATAAATTAGGTATATGTACATACAGAATTTTGTTATGGACAAATAAGGATCGACAAGCTTCTTTTGTGCAAAAAATAAATGATTTTTTCTAGTATTACGACAAACCATAATGTGTTTTACAAACTTACCGGTAACAGTTTTTGTTTATAATAAAATATTTAGGAATAATTTGGGTTGTTTATCAATATATTAATGACTTGAATTTTGACAAATCGAATTTGTATCAAAATAATTTTACGAAATATAAAATTGATGTTCTATTACAAGATTGAGTTTTTATTGTCGACAAAAACCAGGATAAATACTAATAATAATACCCTTAATAAAATCAATGATGTTTATGTATTATGAAAATATTTGTTAGAGGACATGTTATGTAACAGTTTTTGAAACATAATTTGAAGGGACGAATAAAAAAAATAAAACAAAAACATATTTTTTCTAGGTTTATATTAAAAATACAAGGTAGGTAATCATCAAAAATAATTATGAACCAAATGTTTTTTATGAATATACAACTTGAACAAAAAGTTGTTTAGAACAATTTTTACCAAATTTGCAAAAATTTTAAATTGAAACGCGTAATTCAGTACAAGTAAACATGAAATATTGTAAATACTTATTTAATATCATTTCGAGTGTTTAACGACGAAAAGGTCATCTGTCCGTAGCGTCTTTTGTCAGAATATTCGTATATTTAGTGTATTATATACCAATATTGTACGCAGTTTTGAAACTGATAATTAAATAAATCATATTAATGTTAACTAACCATAATAAATGATATAATTTCACTAAATGTAAATTGCCCCCCGTATGGTTGAAAACAGCAAATTGATATTTGATTACTTATAGATTACCACCTATATACAAAATGACAGGAAGACCTGGAATATGGCGCCCAACTTGATTAGACCTTCTGCGCATGTTGACGCTCATTCTCTATCCCTTCTATTTCTCTGATTTACGTCCCAGTATTGAAGGAGGATAGAAAATCGAGTCGAATGTTCAAAACATAGGTTCATCCTTGTTTAGTCGAACCTCCTACAAACCAAGGATAGACTTATGTAGGAAATGCATTGAAATTCTATAGCCATCCTTCAATATCGGGACAGGAATTTAAGCGGTACCCTCCGTATACTTTATTTTAAACGTATTTGGCTGGAAGACAGATCATTTTATATAATTAATTGGTAAGAATGGTAAGACCTAAGCTACTAAGACTATCCGGCCTGTAGACTCTATAAAATTCTTAATTCAATGTTATTTATATATTAAGATTTGGTTTTGCAAAGCGTAGATAACTATCTCCGTAAATCATATTTGTTTTTATACATAAAATATATATTTTTACGGTATTTTACTAAGAAAATTTTAAGTAGTTAATTTCATAGCCAAATAGTTCAAATAGACAGAGGAATAGATTGACATTTTTGAAAAAGCAGCCGTATAGTCCTGACAGCTTAGGCCGGTAAACCAAGTAAGAAGAAGATTTTTGTAATCTAACCTCAGTTTTTATGTTTTAAAAAGAAGCGTATGTAAAATAAGAAATTAGTATATAAAATTTGATTTTTAACTAAAGCCATTAATTACCAGTTAAGTATGATAGTTAGTTGACAGGAATAACAATATGGAAGGGACTAGTAAAGATACAGATGTGCATTTGAAATCTATACTAAGTTCTCCTGTTAAATACTTTCCAGCTGTTCCCACACCAGATTGGACTCCGTCACCTTCAGTTTCACATCAAAATCTAGATAATTTGGTAATAATTAGTGTATATTTTCCCAGTAACAGTTATTGATTGTAATATTTAATTATACTGATACATATGTGCCATACTTAAGGTGGCCAAACGCACTGTTTTAACCAGGGCAATACTGGGTAGTTTTTAGATTCTATTGTGCTATTGTCCTTGTTAATTTTCAGTTTTTAATAAATCAGTAAAGTGCAGGTACTGTTTAAGAAATTTTAAAAAGAGAATTGAACATTTTGTTTATATATTGAACAATCTTACCCAATACAATTTTAGGGCCAGAGCAAACCGAACCCTAGTTTATTAACTGTGACAATTCCTGGTGCAGTTGCTGCAGAACCACACACCAACATAACTTTACAGTAAGATTTAAACAATTTCACAAACACTATATATGTATTAAATGGTCATTACAGAAACTGCGTTGCTACAGTTGATCTTTACACAAATTTAGATTTAACAAAAATTAATGCCAGGACTAGGAATTCGGAATATAATCCAGGCAGATTTAATGGAATAATAATGCGATTAAGAGAACCACGGTCTACAGCTCTTATTTTTAAATCTGGTAAAATAGTCTGCACTGGAGCTAGGAATGAGCATGATGCCCTTCTTGCATCTAAGAAATTTGCTAGAATAATACAAAAGTTGGGATTTAATGTAAGATATTTGTATTCTTGTTATATTAAGAGATAAATGTATGGTATATGTGCATATTTGTTTCAGATTCAATTTGCAAATTTTAAAGTACAAAATCTGGTAGCCACATGTGATCTCAGGTTTCCAATAAAATTAGAAAACTTAAATCACCTCCATGGGCAATTCAGCAGGTAGTAAAAAATAGTTTAGTATTATTCTATTTCAAACTATATTTAAATTATTTTTAAGTTACGAACCTGAGTTATTCCCAGGTTTAATTTACCGAATGATCAAGCCAAGGTTAGTTTTACTTATTTTTGTAAACGGAAAAATAGTTTTCACTGGAGCTAAGTCGCGGGAAGAAATAAAAGAGGCCATAGAAAACATTTATCCAATATTAAGGAGTTTTAGGAAAACTTAGTCATTGTTATCAATTTGTATCAAAATTATTTGGCTATACATAATATATGTCCCTTTTTAAACCTGCACTTTTTTGTAAGATTTTGATTATTAATAAATATGGTCTTGTTTACTATAGGATTTTGTATTTTTTAAATTGTGTGATAAGGTACTTTGACAGACACAAGATACGAGTATCCATAGCTGCATGAAAAGTAAAATATATTTCTTACTGTAAGGCATTGGACACACAGAAAGCAAGTAAAGCTATTTAGCATCTCTTGCGACTAGAAACAAAATAACACGAACATATAGGGATCTCCTCACCAATAGTGTGTAGCGTTTAGCTCTTTTTAATATAAAAAAGACTGCTAAATCGCTTTACTCGCTTTCTGTGTGGCCGTGGGATAAACGTTAATTCTTTAAAAAGTTAGAAAAACTAAGTTGGAGTAAAAAGATTATAATATGTATGTTGTGTGGTGACATATACCCTAAGCATATACCTAAGTAACTCTAATATATTATTGTATTTTTTTGTGAAGGTAAAATATGACTTTGTAAAAAAAGGATTTACTTAAGTAATTATAAGAAAACTACCATATTTTAATTGATACTAACCGTGTATAATATGTATTTATGGGTATTAGTCTTAATTTATTTTAAAATTACAGCACAGATATAACTGTTCCTGTGCTGGTCTCTGATTCAACATGGATTCAACATAATTATAGACTAGTTCTGTGGACTAGTTGTTGACGACTGGCGCATCCGCCACGACATTAGGAAAAAATGCTTTTTATTTTTTTTTAATTAAATGAAAACCAAAAAACCGGCGACGGCAGTTTTTAGAAGAGCCAATTAGCTATCTTTTAGTAAAAAAAGCAACTTTCTAGAGCAAGTCGTTACTTCAGTAGAGACGACACAGATAAACATTAGAAATTTTATGTTTACCTGGCGCATCCACCATTTATTAAAATAATTTTTGAACTTCCTGGGGAAGCATTTTAGGACATAAATTCAGTGAATTTTTGTTTTACATATTTTTATCTGCAGAATGGCCGTTCGAAGTTATATATTATACACTATTTTTGTTTGCTATCTATAGTGTGATTGTGATATGGTTGTGATTTGTGATTATTTGATTTTTTGATTTCTATTGAATATAATAAGGAAATAAGTGAAAGTTAAGAACACGTAAATAAGTGTTGAAAGCTATAAGCTATAACTTATAGGGTTTGTTATAGGTTTTCTTGGGATTGTTTATGTATATCTAAATTTTATTTATTTCTTTGTCAAATGTTCATTATAAATATTATTCATTCCAGGCAGGAACATTTGGCTCCATTTTACTAAATTATCCAAGGAACTTGCAAAATTGATTGATCGATTTAGTTTAGATTTTTATTATTTTAACTCTATATAAGGCTACCATTTCCAATTTTTTCCGCTGTAAACAAAAATACAATAGGTATGATCAAAATATGATCTGCGTCAGTGATGTGTATGAAATGGAGATCGCTGTCATTTTATATATAAAGTTATATGGAGAATGTCATCATTCATGACATTCTCCATTATGTCTAGGTGGCGTTGGCCAGGGCGCCTGTCGCTTTTTTTGAATAAACGCGCTTTTTGGAAAAAAATCTCACAATCTATCAATCCAGTTTTAAAGTTTGGAACATTTCGTACGTTTGCTTTTTGAAATTCTAGAAAATTTGTTCACTATTTCCGATGTGATCAACGCGCGTTATCAATAATTTTACGTAATAAATAGTGAATAACAAGAAACAAGACCTAGTGATGACAATATTTTTGTTAACAACGGGATTATTTCGGTTTTCTGTACTCTTAACTTTATTTCATTTGCAAGAATCGTGTGCGTGCGCCATTTTTTAAGTGTTTTACGGAAAAAATCGACGCCATCAAGTAATTCTTTTGGTAAGTACCTATCTACTATTTAGTTAAGAGAGTTTATATTTATATATTTTTATATATATCCAATATATCTAACATTGGATATTTAAAACAGAACTATTGAATGATTCCCGACAAATTCAAAGTTATAATATTGTAATTACATAATATACACAGGCTCGCTTAAATTGTTACTAAAATCACAGCTAAAATATAGTAACAATTTTGCGACAAGAAGCAAACACATATAAAATACATATTTATTTACAAATTGTTTATTCGATCATCATTTCCAAGCCAACTGAATGCCGTTTTATTTCGATCATATGTGGTACCTATATGTTCAAATCACAATATATTTACATATACAATATGATCGAAAAAAAAAACGGCGTCAGCGATAGCTGCGAAATGAAGATCGCTGTCATTTTGTATATAAAGTTATTTGGAGAATGTCCTCGATCGGATCGATCATCATTTCCAAGCCAACTGATAGATATTCAAATAGGAATCTTTTTGATTAGCGTTTTCTTTAAAAAACCCTTTACCTATTTTGATAGCTGATAGACCTATTAGACAGAAACCTATCGTTGGAAGTGAAGAAAATCAATTTGCTAATTGGCTCTTTTATAGAAAATCCAATATTTCTACAAGTCAATGATATACTTCTTCATTTTTCTTGATAAAATAGTAAATACTAATTTATTACTTACTATTGTAGGTATTTTAAATAAAAATAAGCTGTTATAAATTTAAATGAAGTCTATAAACCAACTTCGATTTTGAAAATAGCTACTAACTGTCACTAGAAGCTTATATAAAATAAACCAACAATTTTTGGCACCCCTGTATATATCTAAAGAAGCAGTCTAATTTTTTAGAAAAGTATTTCTGTACCTTTACACTCAGCACAAGAATTAATTCTGATAGGCAATATACAGGGTGTTGACAAACTTTTTGATTATAATATGCTTATTTAAATACCGTATGATCGAATAAAAACGGCGTCCAGTTAGCTGGGAAATGATGATCGATGACATTTCCCATATAAATTTACATATAAAATGACAGCGATCTTCATTTCATAGCCATCGCTGACGCCGTTTTTATTCGATCATACGGTATCTTTGAATATCTCAAAAACCAAAGCTATTTTGAAACATATTAAACCCTTATAATAAATGCGTTATAAGAAGTAACCGAAATAAGAACAGATTTTTAAGAAAGAACAACGACTAGTTAAATGAGACTATAGAACTTCTTTGACATCCAACGTTAGCGTCTCCAGCACGTCATGCATCGGGAAGACCAAGAAAATATTTTCTTGTCAGTAGTGATAGGTCTAAGAGAAGAAAAGCTCGAGATCTTACTCAGAATTTTGAAGAAGATGAACTTATTTAATTTTTTTTATTATGTCTAAGGATCCAAAAATGAAATAAAAATACCGGGCGGCCTAAAAGAACAAAATATAACTTATTGGTATGGATCTTAGTTCATTATGACACACCCTGTACATATTTCAAAATAATTTTAAATTATGGACATTGCCTTCTTGATAATATTGTTTTTGTATAATTAACCGCGCCACCCTGTATACTGAAAGGAGCCAAAAATTTCTGTATTAAATATGCTCGAGTATAAATTGCTTTAGGTATGTATATGTTGGAGGCAGATGCCGAATTCGGCCTATGTCCGAAATAATTAGATAATGTAAACGTACCTATTATCAGCACCACCCCAATTATCGGCACTAATTCTACATAATTTCAAAAAATAAGATATCTATGGCAAGATTATTAAATAAAAGTATTTCAAGACCTTCAGCGAACCTTTATCTACGTGTCTTCACAATCGGACAACTGTCTGTCAAAATCGGTAATTGTCACTATCAAAAATATACTGGTCGGTTCGCGCTAAGCTCTTGTATAAAATTTTTCTTGGTGTACGTGTTAAGAAACAGGTAAGCTATATTGTGTTATAATTTCTGAATAATGTTTGTTATAAGCGTTGAATTGGGTCTCATATAGTTAGGATGTATTATTTTTATTAATTGCTTGTCAAAAACTGCTTTTCTGTAGCTTTTATGAGTATTTAATGGGTGCCGATAATGGGTACATAAATACCTATTAGGGAATTATCCAATTTTCGGCAGATATGCCGATAATTGGTTATACGCATTGAACTGTATTTAGGTTGATTTTGTCTTTAGCCCTTAAGTGTGCGAACACAGTGCAAGCAGGTTTGCCGCTTACTGGTAGTCAGCGCCAATCTGGGCACCTATTCTTGACATCGTTCGCAACTTTGCGTATACGCATCACGTGTATTGTTATAAACAGGGTATCCCAGAAATGAGTGCAAGTATTTTAAAGGGTGGTAGATCTCGATAAAAAAAACATATTTTCTCTTTATCGTTTTTCAAATAAGAAAATTTCCAAAAAAAAAAATATTTTTTGCTAAAATTTTGAGAACCTTCTTCTTCATGTGCCTTCTCCTCATCGGAGGTTGGCGACCATCAATTGGAATTCCTCCCTGTCTTGAGCCAAACGGATAATTGCACTGGCCTCTCCTATATTAAACCACTGGCGCAAATTCCGCAACCAGGAAAACCGTTTACGCCCGATGCCTCGTCGTCCTTCAATCTTTCCCTCAACGATCAGCTGTAGGAAACTATATTTGTTATTTCGAAAAATATGACCAAAATATGCTGCTTTTCGTCGTTTTATTGTAGTCAATAGTTCTTGGTCCTTACATATTCTTTCCAATACTTCGAGATTTGTTTGAGAACCACTGGATCTTTTCTGGATTTTCTTTCTTATAAATTTAATCTACTACCTATGTTGCCATATTATCAAGAAATTATTTTTTTAAATAAAAACTAAAAAAAATTGCAAAAAAATTCCAAAAATATTTTCAAAAAATTCCGAATTTTCAAAAAAAAATATTTAGAAAAAAACCTCATAGGCGTGTTTCTGGGGTTGAACTATACTACCAGTTAAGTTAAAATACTTGCACGTATTTCTGGGACACCCTGTATATGGTTACATAGTAGCGCCGCGCCGCGCCGCCTCGCGCTTATAACCTTGAAAAATTAAAGCGTGTTATCAAATCGGCTAGTTCACAGTGAAAGCAGGTAGGAGCCGTCAACCAGCGTTCATCGGCGTTCTCGCTTTTACCGGAACGAAAATTTATTTATTTCTGCTTTTGCAGGCGCCGACGGCGCACAG